TGCACAAATAGGTATTTTTGTTTAGATTTTATTGACTTGGGGAATGGAGAGGAAATCTAAATGGTGATGTACAATAACATAATACGTAATACATAATATGGTATTTACTGAAAGTCACTTATTAAATGATTTGTTCTAAAACGAATAATCCTCAAGGCCTGGAAACATAAAGCCATTTTATTTAGAGTGCTTAGAATTAAGAGGAATTAAGATAGACTAAGGAAAGGGGAAATTCATATAAATATGCATTTCTTTGTAGCTGGAAGTCTTAGAAGAAGGGTTGTTGTATATATACAGAGCCAAACAGATACATTACACCATAATTCTGAATGTACTGCTTAGGGCTTTTATTTTCCTCCTTATAAACATTGTTAGGGTTAGCAGGGGTTATGCAATGTATAAAATAATACATACCTACAATCAAATTATAGCAATACCCAGAGTATACTGATACAGGGTTAATTCTATTATGTAAATGGGAAACTTGGTCAGATTTCAGATAAGCATAGAGTTTGGAGTTAACTGCTGAGGGGCACAAGATGGAATTTTCAGATAACTGAACTTTAGTTTCATTGAATTTTAGAGATGGAAAAGGTTTATTAGATGAACCTTCTTCTTTGACCTAGAGCTGTTTAAAAAAAAAAAACTCCATAAAAAGCTCAAATCATAGAGTTAAATTTTTGCTTTCATGAAGCAAGAAGTTTTTCAGTCAGTAAATTTGCATAATGGATCCCTTATGGCCCTATCTGTATATGGGTTTTTAGGAAGGCTGATGATTGATACTTCAAAATTATTCTTGGATAATAGAGTTTTCATTAGTTATTGTTTTTTTGAAGTGTTCAGACTTACTGAATTGCATTAGGTTTCCCTGTTCTCTGAAATCAAATCAGTTTGTTATATTTAATCCTTTTCTAATAGCTCATCTTACACAGGGCCTTAGAAACACTAAAATATGACAAATATATGCCCTTTTTTCCCCTCTTACTTTATCCTGCCTAGCCCTCCTCTTTCTTTCTTCCAAGGAGACATGTGGCACAGTATTAAATACCTTCACTGTACTGTCACAGCGACCTGGTGCGAATCCTAGTTCCAGCACTTTTGAGCCATCTGACCTAAGGCAAAAGTTTAAAAGTTTGATCCTTAGTTTTCTCATCTGTAAAATGGAGATAATAATTGTACTATTCCCACAGGGCTTCCCCCCCCCCCCCCTTCAAAGTTATTTAATTACAAGGCTGGATAACTGAAAAAGAATTTTCCATTAAAAACAGTTTCAGAGTTAGAAAGTATCAATAACAGGTTATGACTCTAGGGCAGTGACATGATTAAATAGAAATGGCTGGAATCTTATGGATGCATTAATCTAGATTCGATGTTGGTTCAGAAATCTATTTACAAATTAAAAAAAAATAATCTGTCTTGAGTTTTGTTTTCTTTTCGTGTCCATAAAATGAAGAGCTTTTCCTGATCACCAGTTTTTCATAAAACAGACAAGTAAATCTCGTGGCGCTAGCCAGAAGAGTTTACACCTTAGGAACTTCATAGCAAACTGGCCTCCTTCAATAGGCAGACAGCAACCCCTCATTTAAAATGAAGCTGTTCATCAATCGGTGACATTCATAGCTTCATTAGTATTCATCAACCTGCAGGATGCTGGTAGAATTGTCAGGTTTTAACCAAGTCATTTTCCAGCAAACATTCTCCCATATGTTTTGGAACTTTCCTTTGCATCTTAGTCTCTCCACATAACAGTTCCATTACACAGAAATCCATTGTTCCAAGCACCACAGAGCAGCTCCCAAGTCCTGATGTAAACAAGAGGGCTTTTTTTTTTTTTAACATCTTTATTGGGGTATAATTGCTTTACAATGGTGTGTTAGTTTCTGCTTTATAACAAAGTGAATCAGTTATACGTATACATCTGTTCCCATATCTCTTCCCTCTTGCGTCTCCCTCCCTCCCTCCCACCCTCCCTATCCCACCCCTCCAGGCGGTCACAAAGCACCGAGCTGATCTCCCTGTGCTATGCGGCTGCTTCCCACTAGCTATCTACCTTACGTTTGGTAGTGTATATATGTCCATGCCTCTCTCTCGCCCTGTCACAGCTCACCCTTCCCCCTCCCCATATCCTCAAGTCCATTCTCCAGTAGGTCTGTGTCTTTATTCCTGTCTTACCCCTAGGTTCTTCATGACATTTTTTTCCCTTAAATTCCATATATATGTGTTAGCATACGGTATTTGTCTTTTTCTTTCTGACTTACTTCACTCTGTATGACAGACTCTAGGTCTATCCACCTCATTACAAATAGCTCAATTTCGTTTCTTTTTATGGCTGAGTAATATTCCATTGTATATATGTGCCACATCTTCTTTATCCGTTCATCCGATGATGGGCACTTAGGTTGTTTCCATCTCCGGGCTATTGCAAATAGAGCTTCAATGAACATTTTGGTACATGACTCTTTTTGAATTTTGGTTTTCTCCGGGTATATGCCCAGTAGTGGGATTGCTGGGTCATATGGTAGATCTACTTGTAGTTTTTTAAGGAACCTCCATACTGTTCTTCTCCATAGTGGCTGAACCAATTCACATTCCCACCAGCAGTGCAAGAGGGTTCCCTTTTATCCACACCCTCTCCAGCATTTATTGTTTCTAAATTTTTTGATGATGGCCATTCTGACTGGTGTGAGATGATATCTCATTGTAGTTTTGATTTGCATTTCTCTAATGATGTTGATTGAAAAGCATGTCAGTCACTTAACATAGGGCTGACACATAGCAACACTCAATGACTCCTATTATAATTTTATTTTATTATTACTACTGCTGTTGATCTGTAATTTATTCTGAAATCAAGTTCTTAGATTAAATTTATTTTACTGAAACTGATCACCCAAACTTCTTTGACCCTGGCCTGGACCATCCATTTCCCTCATCCCCTTTGTCTTACCACAGAATGAACCCAGGTGATCATACTCCGTGCCTGTTTATCTTAGCAGCACAGGCTTCCAAAAGACCCTGGAGAAGCAGAGAAGTAAGGAGCCCAGGTTCTGCAGTCAGAATGCTTGGGTTCAAAACCTGTTGTTCCTCTTATTAGTAGATCACCTTAGGTAATCTACTTAATCTCTCTGGGCCTCATTTTCCTTACCTATAAAATAAAAATACCTATTCTCTCCATAGGGAAGTTATGAAGATTAAGTGAGTTAAAACATGAAAGAATGTAGGACAGTATCTGGCACAGAGCACATGTTCTATAAATGTTAGCTATTAGTGTGGCCGTTGCTGCTTTTATATTTTATTCTGCAAGGCTGTCTTTATTTTTAACAATGTTAATTTGCAAATAATAGTAATACCCTCCTGATTAGGTTTCTCAGGCTGTATGTATCATCATTTAGAGATCCAGTTCAGTTTAAGAAACAATTGTTAAATGCTTACTGTGTATTAAGTGCTCTTGGGGGGTGGTTCATAGATTAGTAAGATATATTCCCTGCCCCCCCCCCAGGAGTTTATAAACTGGTAGGAGAGAGAAGATTTATTCAGAGGGTAATTATTACACAGGGCAAAATATCACTCTACTTTTTATAACAGATAAAAGGTAGGTCACAGGAGGCCTGGAGTAATTCTCAGTGCTGGGGAGGAGTGAGTTGGGAAGGTCAGGTGAAGAGTTGGGCATTTCCAGGTGAAGTGAATAAGGAGTTGGGAAAGTTCATGGTACCTGGAGGAAGAGTGATTGGACAGTCTTGATCGGAGTGACTGAGAGTGGGCAAGACACAGTGCTGTCACTGCAACACGAGGAAACGTAGTAAACTTGGTGAAATAGCGTAAGGAGGTGGCAGAGTTGAAGTTGGCTCAAAAGTTTTAGTATTAGTGCTGGGGAAGAGGGTAGTGATGCCATTAAAGAGAAAAAGGATGGGAAGTAGATTAGGTTTTGGGGGGAAAAGATGGGTTTTGGACCTGCTGAATTTGAGATATAGTCAGGAGAGACTAGTTACGGTTCTGCAGTTTTTGGAGACCTTCTTAAAAACTGCTTTGTGGATGGAAAAGGCAGACATTAGGGTAATATGGTTCCTAACAGATGCAGGTCCCCCTCAGATGTGACGCAGGTACCTTATAATTGAAGACTTATCATATAAGGGAACTTCCCTTGACCCGTGAGATCCTCTTAACCCTCCTTTTCTGGACATTTTCTCACTTAGTCTCTGAATGGAGGCTGTGCCTTTGTCATTCTGTATGGTGTGCAGTGGTAATACCCTTTAGGTTTCACTGGCATTTGAGATAGAGATAATTGGCTTTTTACTTAAAAAAAAAAATCCTATTAACTTGTTATATCAAGTGGTGTTGCCAGAGTAGAAATAGTAGAAACACCCATCACCCTCCCTTAGTCCGGATGTGCTTTGAATCACCTAGCTTTGTTGTTTCATGTCAACAGAAAAAGGCTCTAAGTGAAGAGAAAGAGGCAGAGAAGAGTTATCTTAATGGCAAAATACTTTCTGGTCCACGGAAATCCATTGCTTGCTGAAAATAGGTATAATTTTTAGGTACAAAAGAAAAGATTTTACAAATAACCAATACTTCCTGATCACTCGCTATACTTACGGTGGTAAACATTTGCTACCAGAAAGAAGGTGTAGAACATCTAGAAAGCTTTTTCTGCTGTGCGGTGGTCCTCATTATGTTTTCTTTGAGTTAAAAATTTGTGTTCTTTTCGTCTTGGAGGAGGACACAGTGTTGTAGAAGGTTTTGAACAAGAGGCAAGACTTTGGTACTTTGTGGATTGTTATCACCCAGCAAGACCCTTTGCAACTTCCTCTCGCCGCCCACAGCAGAATACGGAAACCGTGCTGTATCAGGCCACTTCTGCAATTACAGTCACAATTAAAGGGGATCCTTCTTTCACGCTACACCCTTCTGTTTCGAGGCTTTCTTTGCATTTGAAAATGTGTCTTTTGTGGTGGAATGCCCAACTGAGCCTTGATCTCCCCTCTCTCTTTGCTGCCATGCAGTGCTGCAGTTGAAGCTCCAGCAGCGCCGGACACGGGAGGAACTGGTGAGCCAAGGGATCATGCCGCGTAAGTACCACTCTCTCTCCCCCTCTCAGCACTTGATAGAGTTGCTTTTAGGATGCGGGGTGTGTACCCAGTATGCCACGGGGAGCATCTAACAGAAAACAAGGCCTATGGGGTTCATTTTTCACTGCTTTCTTTGTCATACTTTTCCAAGTTCATGGCCTCTCAATCAGTGATAGTTAAGAGAACAGCCCTAACTGACCAAGTTCAGTGAAACAAAAAACGTTAGGTTTAACGGTACCATTGAATCATCCTTAGCTTCTTAACTGCACGTTTTAAAGGGTTTCTACGCCCTATTATACTTCCCTTTATAGGAGGAACAGATCTTGAGCTGGGGTACTGTGAGGAAGAACACTTCTCACATGTGTTTTGCTTTAGTGTTCGGGTGCTTGGGAAGAGATAGCCCTTTTCCATCTAGTATTCTGAGTCAACCCCAGTTTTATTTAGAGTGAGAGCCTCAGATATACCCTAAGGCTGGCGTGGGGATGAGTGTGCCTGAATGGAGTCATTGATGGGGGTATCGCAGGGCTGGGCTTGGTGCAGAACTGCATCACTTGGGAGAAATAAAGCCAACCTTGGAATCTGTTTGAAGTAAGAAAATTTGCTTTTACTACCAATAGCCTTATAAAATGAGTGGAAGCTGAAGCCAGCAAAATTTTGCTTTTTTTGACATTTCTTTTTAAGTCATCAGCAGAGAGTTAGGCTCTCCCTCTCGTTTCTTTTATCTTTAAGTGTTAACTGCTACTTGGACACACCCTAATGAAGTAAAAATTTATATATCATACAACAACTTCTAGCTTCATAGTGGGAGAACTGATGTTTTTCACCTTAACTCAATGCCTGCTAACCTACTGCTACTGTACTTTCCTAATTCTCATTCACTCATTCATTCAAAATATTTGAGTACCTAGTGTGTGCCTGTTGATACAGGAAGATAAGTTCAACTCCTGCTCTCAGGAGTTTTGTACTTAGAAGACTGATAATATAATAAACAGGGAGAGAAACACAATTATTTCAAAACATGGTAAATGCTATGAAGTAAATTAACTGGTTGGTATATTGATAAATAATAGGAATGAGATGGAATCACTTTGGAAAAGTTGGTCAAGAAAGGCCTTCTTGAGGAGGAAATATTTGAGCTGAGATCTGAAGGATATGATGGAGACAGTCATTCAGAAGCAGGAAGAGGGCCCAGGAAGAAGGAAGAGCAAATGTAAGGGCCTAGTGCAGTGAAGAGCCTGGCATGTTTTTGCAAACATCAAGGAAGCCATTGTGACTGGGCCTGGTGAGTGAGGAGAGAGTAGGGGCCCGTTAAGATTGGCAAGGTGTGCAGAGCCAGAACGAGAGCCTTGTCAACCATGAGGAGGAGGTAGGTTCTGTTTTAACTACAGTGGAAAGCCATTGAAGGCTTTTAAGCAAGTGAAGATGGGATTTGATTTACATTGTGGTAATACCAGGTCCATGTCTAAGAGCTAGAACTTCATAGCAAGTATAAGGAGTCTGAGGTCTATTTCTGTCCTAAGTGTCAGCCAGGAAACTTAAGTCTCAAATTTATATCTTTTTTAAAATTGCTATTAACTACCAAACAATTTACCCACGTGCCGTTTTCTTCTCTGGCCTTCTAGTGAAGGACCCCCCATCTTTAAAGTGTGGATCAGTTAATGTGATCAGGTAGGGCGGTGTTGTGCTTTACAAAACACTCCAGATCCGCCAATCTATATACAAACCTTGTGGAGGAACAAGTTACCCAGCATCACGTGCCTTTCACCAAGACTGCATGCGTTTAGTGTCTACTTTTTGCCTGGGGTAGTCCTAGGTGCTCTAGAGATTAAAGAAATGTAAGGCACGGGACTTGCCCTCAAGACATTTAACAGTTTATCTGGGGAGTAAGATTTGCCCATACACAAGATAAAGGGCAATTCAGCATTGACCTGTGGGGTGCTGACTCTGATTACAGTACTAGTTCTGAGAGCATAGTGCTGCTTCTCAGGATCCAAAAGCCACTGCGGAGGATGAGTGCCTTGCATTCTTCTTGCTGCCTTTCATTTGATACCAGGGGCTACTGGAGATATATGTTTAATAAGATTTATTGTATACAGTCTCCTTGCTTAGCATTTCTTACAGTATTCTGTGTTGTTAAGACAAATGATGCTTGAGTATTGCAGTTATCTCCTTATATGTTTGTCTCTCCAATTAGACTGTGAGCTCCTTGAGAAAGTATCTTATTTATATTTCTGTCCCCAGTACCTGGCACTGAATGAACGAATGAATGAAGACAGCCAGTTGTAAAGTGGAGTGTGTGTGTTTGTGCGCACATCCGTGTGTGTGTGTGTGTGCACGCATGTGTGTGTGTGTGTGTGTGTGTGTGTGTGAAAGAGAGGGAGAGGATGAAAGACAGACACAGATACCACTCTATTGCAAACTTGTTGGAATTCTGGGCATGGAATTTGAAACAACACTCCTGTTCTGTCAGGAGCCCAGGTTCTAAAATATTCTGAATATCTAATTGTGTGCTTTGGGTAGTTCTCTGTATCTGTGAAGTGAGAACAATTGCCCTTCTTACAGGAATAGAAATGCCCTGCTTCTATGAGAATATTGCATCTTCCCTCATACAACAAGGCACCTTCAACTATGGGCACAGTTTGGTTTCCAGCTTTTCTAGTGAAGAAAGTAAGAAGCAAACTCTTAGATTATGAGAGAGAGAGTGTTGAGGCCTGGGAAGAGTTTCAGGTGTGAAGTTCCCTGCTCATCAGCATGCCTGCTCATGTGCAGATAGGGCCCTGAATTCCCAAAGATGAGGCTCTTTTTTTCCCCAGCCCTTCACCCTCTGAGTAACACCACTTCCTCACCACAGCCCCTCACCACTACCCTAACTCCCATTATAGTCTCCAACATTCTCTGCCTCCCTGACATCCCCAGCAATTCCACATCTCACCTTTCACTCATGTCTTTCAAAAAAAATATGAGTAGTGCTGGGGGCAAATCATAATTGATCAGCCATTTGTTGATTATTGGAGATTTGGAGACCTGAAAAGATAACATCTGGTTTGAAGTGCATTTCCATCTTGCTGACCTGAGGAGTTTCTGAAAAGTGCCTTTATGTTTAAGTTTGTTGTACAACTTAGGAAGTAATTAGGACCTTCAAACCAGAGGAAAGGAGCAGTGTAGTCATGGCTGTATTCTGCCTCATCATTTCTGATAATATCTTTTATCAAATTATTCTCATCCCAATCTTTCTGTAGCTCTAGGAAGAACCCACCCACCTCGTTTCAGAGAACCCTCATATGCAGCTCCCATGTGTGGCTGGCTTCCAGTTCTGACATCATATCTGTAGGACATGATGTTTTCAGCAGCTGCCTTGCTTGCAGGGTCATTCATGTTTTTGCATATTGTTCAAAGTTGGGCTACAGCCTTCCCATAGAATTCAGGGGATTAAAGAATCCCTCAATTCGCATATACCTCTTTCTGCTACTTGATATGCTCTGTTCATGGCATCTAAACTATGGGATATAAAAGTTGGTTTCCGATGTGTTTTTAAATAGAATCATTTCCCAGAATCCTTCTTTCTCATCATGTAAACATTTGTCTCGAATTTAACACTACTTAAACCCTACCAAATGCAGAGTGCCAGATAGCAAAGGATTACATATTCCAGGCCCTTAGCTTTCTTTAATGATGTCTGAAGCTCTGCATATCTTGAGGGAGAGGAGAGATGGCACAGATAGGAAGCTGGTGTTTAAGTACAAAGATTAAGGAATGCTGCTGTATCTAGGATGAAGATTCATAGAAGAGGTGGGTCATGTGTGGTACACTTTGTTCTCAAACAGAACTTTCCCCACAGCCTTTCTCTTTGACATTTAAAGTGTACAAGCCATAAGGTTAAGGTGAAAATTAAGAAAAACATTCTGGCAATGAGAGCTGCTGCAGAGGAATAACCTTTTAAAGGAAAACCTGGAAATTCTCCTGACCCAAACCAATGAGAATAAAGTCTCCTATAATCTTTCTAGATATGAGAGAAGAATCTCATTTGTCTGTTCCCTCTCAACCTTTTGTGAATCCTTGAGAAAAAGCAGAGAGTAGCATATTTCTAATGCTCAAGTTACCCCTTACCAGTCCATTATTGCCCCATGTGCATGTAGTAGGAAAACCGTGGTACCTTGGCAAACATGAGGAAATCATTATGTTTGTCCAGTAGATTAAGGATCTTCCTCCATTTCTTGGGTGAGCTTGTTTTTTTCATTTTAAATGGTGTTTCTGTGCACTCAGCCTCTGCCATTGGTGACACTTACTTCTCAGTGGTTGGGAAAATCTGAAGGGTGTGAGGGCAGCACAACTCAGAGAGGGCAGCCACTGTCAATCCAGAGGCCTGTCAAACTGCCTGGCCCCTGAGAGGCCCTCAGACATGTTGCTGGGTGAGAAAGTGAGCCAGTTGGCCAGCTAGTTTTGACTGATTTATATATCTGCTAGCAGGCCCTGTGTTCTCACCCTGAAACTGGAAAAAAATGGCCTCGTGTAATGGAGTTCCCGCAGCTCTATTTTTAATAAACTTCACCACATCTTGATTCCCCATCTTCAATTCTACGGTTTGATCCCTTTGTCATGCTTCAGCCGTCGGCATTAGCCAAGTGCTACACACAGTGCGGCCCAGTTGCAGCACTGCTAGCTAATCTAAGCTGTCATTTTACTGGCCCCCACATTAGCTGAAAATCTCCTGTTCATCTGACTATAGCAGTCTCTGCACCAACAAGAAATTTCTTCTAAACTCTGACAGAAGGTTATTTAATGTCTGGAAGTGTCAGGATTAATTATTGCGATCTCTTTTCCTCTGTAGCTAAAATTCTTAATAATAATATTTTTGCTATTTGTAACTTGGGAATTATTTCTTATATTATTCTTGATCAAAGGTACAAACTGAGTTTCAAGATTCTCTTTCCTGAGTACATATGGATAAAAATCTATTTTGGTGAAGCTCTTTTAAAAGTAACTTTTGGTGTTCTTAACCC